GCTCTAATGGTCCGCCTTGTTAGTTGAAGAACTAAATGCAGTATTGGAGGATTATATACTCGGCGTTATAAAAGAATATTTAATGTACGTGGTCTATACTCTAGTTAGGGTTGTTTATTAAATTTTAACAACGAAAGGCGAGAGTCTCTCTTTGAATAGCAAAATTCTTTTCGGGTATTGTTTTTGTGTCTTCGAAAAAACAGTAAATTTGTTTCTATGAGGATAAAAACATGTCTTGTCTCTACTCAAGCAATGAGAAACACAATTTTGTAGACAAGAAAGGAAGGTGTCGTGTAATTTTCATAAACTTATACACATTTTAACTGAAAAGAGAGTTTACCTACTTTCTTTTGCTTTTAATGCTAAATCAGTAAATAAATGGAAATATTATCATAAATTCTCTGAGAAGAACGTGTATTTCTATATCACCATGCATGAAAACAACTACTGCTCGTTTTATCAGTACAAAAAGTATGCAAAGAAATAACCTGGGTTAAAAATAGGCTGTCACTATCTTCTGCTTCAAATAAAACAAATATCACAAATTCTTTACCGTTCGACATTTATACCAGCTTCACATATTAAAAGTGTAGATCCCTAGATCTGGGCGAGGTCCGGAACATTTTCAAAAGTGCAAAAATGTTTAAATATTTTTTAAAAATACCTATTTTACCTGAGTTTTTTACTTATATCTTGGAACCTAAGCATTTTGGAAGAATATTGAAGAGGAAAAAAGTTTTAGAATTGAATTTGCACAATATACTCCAAGTTAAAAATGTTTAAATTTATTACCGGTAATAAATTTAAACATTTTCAACTTACAGTATATTGTGCAAAAATCAAATTTAAAACTTTTTTCCTCTTCAATATTCTTCCAAAATGCATAGGTTCCAAGATATAAGTAAAAAACTCAGATAAAATAGGTATTTTTTAAAATTTTTGCAATTTTGAAAATGTTCCGGACCTCGCCCAGATCTAGGGATCTACACTTCTATTATGTGAGTTGTACTGAAGGTATTCCAGCAAAAATTAGCTTGCCCCCTCTTACATTGTGGGATATTTCGATATATCCACCTTGGTCTAATTTGGTACATTGGAAATATTTGTTATTATTTTAATGGAATGGAACAATGGAATTCTGTTGCTCGTATTGGTTTCAATTAAATAATTTCTCTTGAAAAACATTTCCAAATACGGTTGTTATTGCGATGAATAAAAAATAAACCTGTTATTTACTATGATGTGAGCTTTATAATCTATAACAGATTAGTGATAGGTGTGTCATTTCATGGGGAAAAGTCATTAATTAATAGGGTCCTTAAATAATAGATTCAGAACGTGACAAATGGAAGAACGCTGCTTCAAATGTCGCTCTTATTATAAGATGTCTGGCCTATAATAACGGATATCGTTTTGGATATAAAATGAAAATTGCTGTTTACTTCTTTCATATAAATAGTTAACTTCGTCGAGTATTTCTAACTAAGGACAAGTTTTTTACAAAGCATCAAATTAGACTTCCCACTCTATTCGTTGATTAAGTCGACATCACTTGGAGATGTCTGGAACTAAGACTCGACTACACCCAAAAATAAAAAGAATTAACTAAGTAGTTTGTACACGAATTTGAAATTTTCATGCTTAATCGGAAAAGTCAGAGACACAGAGAAGTGTTTCTTAAGACCACGTTTTCTAATTAAGTTATCGGCTAAATGAGGAGCAACCATTAATTCTGGCCACATCCTTAATGAATTTTCTTTTCTATTCAAAGCCTTCTTTACTGAGCAGTCAGTGAAACGGTCACTTCATGCCAGACACAATGGAACGAGTGGTCGGTTTAACGATGCATCATTGGTTCTATAAGTCCTACACAGGGTGATACACTCAAGGATGCCCGTCAGTGAAGTTTCGACATAAACAAGACAAATCTCAATTAAATCTTGTAATGAATATTGTTACAAAATATTTCATTGATATACAGGGTGTAAACTTATGTCAAATATTTGTGCCATTATGTCAAAATGAGGTAAATACACGGATTGGTGTTGAGTGAAATGTAATTCTAAAATATGACTTACCTCAACATTGCAAGGAGCCACCTTTTGAGAAGTGCTGATTTTCATAGAAGATGTTCGACGTACCCACCATTTGCTTGCACACAAGCTTTAGTTTGTGACATCAGTTAACTTAGTTTTTGCTCCTTTTTCACCCCTTTAAATTTTTGACATAAGTTGATTAACACCCTGTGCAATGTAATCATTATTAAAAGAAAAATATTCGAAGGATATAAAGTCACGCCACTGTTTAAAATGGAAAGAATAAATGATTTATGTGTTTTTTTTATGGAAATTCGATCGCTTTTTTAGAAAGACACCTTGATTAAATTTAATCTTGTTATTTCTCTGGATATCGCCTTTCACTGAAAATCTGAACACTTAATTTGAGTTTGAGACTTTTTTGACCTCGATTTTGCTTGTTATCGACGAGAACCGTTGATCATTATCCACGAAATCTAATTTTATGATGTACCGAAAAGGGCAATTGGCGTTACTAGCTGTTATTTTCGCGCATATGCGTCGACACCGTTTTCTCCAAGGGACCGATAAAAAAGCTGTCTTCCAACAGTCGCTGACTCTGTTTTGATTCGTTAAAATTCAGATATGTAATTATGCCAATAATTACCGGCTGTTGCTGAAATATTAATAGCTAAATATATCTTTATGGTTATTAGATTGCTGACTGATGGTCTGTTTTGAATCATTTAGTAAGCCGATATTTTACATACCGTTCGTGTTAATAAATATGTCTATAATTTAAAACGAATAATAAATCCAAGCTATTAACTAATAAACGTTTATTGATTATCAATAATTACATAATGTTTTCCTATATTGTCTTCTGTTTTTCCCACAGCACATATTACTTCAGTATTAACTATAATGTCAATTACAATTTGTGATGACCGAAAGAAGTCTCGTTTGATGAACATCAGTACCTCATCAGTAGTAATGATACTGATCGGATGTACTTTTGATGATTGACTGGCATTAAATATGATATAAATTAATATTACTGGTAAATAATTAATTTGGGAGTCAGCAAAATAATAGCATCGATCTAACTAAAAATAATTAAGCTGTCCATAGATAGTTTTCATGGAAAATGACTACCATAAATATGAATTCTGACAGACCTGTTCGGGAGTACCTAAAACAAAGACGGATTGGACGTGGTGAATGGTTCCAATGGTCATATAGATCGTCAGTTTTGAATATGTATTTGAAATAACATGTGGTGATCATATGGCCCCAAAGAAAAAAATCGAGAGGCTTAAGATCGGGAAAACGAGGCGGCCACGGAAAAGGATTACCTCGACCGGTCCATCGATCGGGAAATGTGGTATTTAAATAAGCCTTTATACTGCCCTGTTAAAATGGGGTGCATAAGCCGCATGTTATTTCGATTATTTAAAGGGGCGTTCCCCAATAACGGGTTAAGGTGTTCTTCCAGTAAATGAAGGTGTTTGTCCCCATTTAAAGTGTCATCAATGATAAGTAGTCCCACTAAGTAGTTCCCAATTATTCCCATTAATGATGAATTTTTGTTGGTGTTTTGTCTGAATAATAGCATGGGGTTTTTGTTAGTCTAAATATGCAAATTATATTTGGAAATCGGTTGGCGTAAATCCAAACAGCTTCAGAAGCATTACATTTTGCAATCTGTACATTAGATGAGTACCTGCAGATTCTTTATAGCCAAAATCCTTCATGATATTAAATCAATAAATGGTGTCAAAATGACATGACAAATATGTAACTGCTAATTGTACATACTTGTTGACAGTCATCTCAATTTCCAAAGAAACCAAGATTTTTACAAAAATGTTAATTGCTACAATTTTTGGTACAATAAATATATGTTGCTAATAAAATTCGATTTTCTCAGAAACCATACAAGATATCGACTGATATACGGTACATCTTTTTTTTTTTAGTAAAGTGAGAGACGGAAGAAATTAAAGGGGAATGAAAGAAAATAAAGAACTAAAGTAGATGATTTTGTTCTTAAAATTTAATGATGGTTTAGTTAAGCAACACATTGAAAACCAATCTACTTCCAACAACTAATGTACAGGGTGTTCATATATCGGTTTAACCATAAATGTAATGATAAAATAATTATTGTAAGCTGAAATTTTCAGGTACGATCCTGCTTGGTTAAAAAATAATTTGTTGCAAGCTTTTATTTTTGAAAAATCAAAGATGTCTCATCACACAAAGTAGTACTATATACAAAGTTTTATAATTTTCTGATTTGATAAATCATTGAATTGTAATATTAAAACCTATTGCTACCTAATTTGGGACATTAATTTTAAAGGACATGTAATAACGTTCCCGATCTCATACAAAAAGGGCAATTCGTATTCGAACGTCAAATTTTCGCAAAGAATTTGACCAATGTTATAGAAGATATGTGGAAACTGGGTGCATATTAATTGTTAGAAAAAGATTACCTATTTATGTGCTTCTTAGTATTCTATTAAATTAATTAAAATTCTACAGGGTGATTAAGTCATAACGTCATTAAATTTAACCGCGTACATTTGAACTTATTCTGGACACTGGCTACTTGTAGGTTAAAAAATGCGTCAGTAACATCAAGCAACATTGACAAACAAACAAAGTGCATTTCAAGATCAAATCCCATCAATTAACTGCCAGACAGCCCCACCGCCTCAGCGAACAACGCTCCGTTTCGTAGTAAACCTATAATGCAATTATTAAAAAGCAGCTGGCGGGCGTTTTTCTAAAAAGCCGTGGTGATGAGTCACTGAACCTACTCTAATTAAATAGTTAATGATAATATATTAATTGCAAAGCATGCAGTAGGGTGCAGAGGCGCCGACACACCCCGAACTACCCCGACTGCTCTCGAAATGGTGTTTGAGTGGGAGTTTCAACTATGCGACGCCAGTACTCTGATAACCGTCGGGACGCTTGCGAATGAGGCGCGCACCAAGTGCCGATACTGCCGCTCCAGCCCGAATCCGTGCGCAAGACTTTGACAGCCCCGTAAGTTTTTTGATGGTACAGGTGACCGTTGCCGGGATGTTTCCTTCTATGTAAACCAGTTACACAATTTCGCAAAGAGCCTTTTCGTGGCGAGTGCAATATTTTGGGTGTTATTGGAAAGTTGGGGACTCAGTTTTTCACTGGTGTTGGTAAACATTTGGAGAATTATGAGTGATATTTGTTTGTGTTTGTGCATGTCGCCAATTTGAAATAGTGCCAATTTCTAGTGTGGGAAAATAGTTTTTGTGAGTGGAAGGATTTTGACGTACCCAGCCGGAATGGATTTCAAGCACTTGGTTTATATCGTCACACTTATTGTTCAAGGTAATACGTGTTTCAGTTTCTTTATTGCGTTATTTCTTGTGAAGCCCATTATATTATCTATAAGCAGTTGCTTAACCTAATTAAAATGTTCTCAATTTCACATATTTACTTTGCAGTTTTCATTAAATAATGCACTGAACTATGACCTCTTATCAGTGTTGTTGTAAGTACGTATTAAATTTATTTTTAATTCACTACATTACGTTGACATTTCCTCATGCAATTCAAATGGTTCCTAATGCAATTTGACAGCTAGATATGACAGTATGGTAATGTTGGCGTTCTTTCGGAAGTGTGGTACCTAAAATTGAGACATTTTCGCTTCCTTTTTAATTTTTTCAGTAACTCTACACTGGCTTTTGAAGCTATCACGACCTGCTAAGCTTTTGCTGCGTTTTAATGGAAAAGTATCATACAACGTATGTGTTAAAACACAAGATGAAATAAAAACTGTTATCAGACGGTTCAAAGGTTCGACGCATGGGGTGAAGTCAGAGTTGTATGAGTCACACCTAAAACGAATATTACTATTATTTGCCACCGTTAGATGTCACTAGTCACTAAATGCTTTATTGTCTAGTTTATAGGCTCGAATCAAATGATTTAAAGGTTTGGATTCAATCCATGGGTTAAAGTCAGACCTGGAAGAGCCAGACTTAATGATGAAATATTACGTTTTCATGACTTACTTGTTTTTTTTGCCACCGTCAGATGTTACTGATGACTAAACGCCTTATTGTCTCTATTTTCAAAGTTCAAAAACAAATGTTTGTTTAGTAACAGCTACTATGAAGATCGAGGTGCAAAAATTCAATTACCAATGGAAAGTGAGGTGAAAATGGTAAGAATATTTATTTTCTCTTCTCACCAAATCAACACAAATATTTTACATTGTTTTTTGCATATTTATATTGTACGAATACTATCCTGGAACACGGACGATTGATTCGCAACTTTGTGACTGGGATAAAACATTTGACATTCCATCAGGTCCCTTAGCTCTATACAAAAGACTAAAAACTTTCGGCACATCCTTTTATGTTTCGAACTAAATGCTTTGGCCTTGGATGATCCCTTTAATTTGTAGGGGAAACGTCTTCACGTTCTGCGTTGCCGCTCATTACGCCAATTACTGTTTCTTTGAATTGTTGTTGTTTGAAGCCGTCTTAATTCTTCATCATCGATTATTCCAGAAGGAGATAAATTTGCAGATAAGCGATATTCATTTAGGTAATTTCTTGGCACGTGCAAAGATAGGATATAAGTAGAAATATGTCAGGGGTGATTTTTGGACCAATTTAAGTAGTCTTCGAGATATGGGGCGGTTTTATAAAATGTAACATTTAAGCGTACGTCTTCTTTAGTAACTTTTATCATTGTATTCACAGTTAAATCATAAGCCTAGTTTTTCTTCTCAGAACGACCCACTTCCTGAAATATTTGTACATACCCAAATTACATCCTGTTTAGACTGACGTCATATAAATGTCATTTTTTGAGTATTTCATATCAGCGAGATTGTGTCCCAAAATTCGATACATTAAGCCAGACAGAACCACTGTACATAAACGAGCAACAGTGATATCTACAACACATTATTGACAAGTGCATTATCCCTAATTGGAGAACATTGAAACAAAAACTCCGTTTTAAAACTGTCCTCAATGGCGCTGTAGCTAAAATAAAATGTGACAAACTCCAAAATTAGTGCCTAATCCTTTGAAACAAGTTCAAATAGTAGTTGCGAGATTATAAGAGAAGAGAGCCCTACAGAACTTAGCCCGAGATCAGTAAGACCAGGTCAAAGGTTCCTGGCTAAGGCTAAATAACTGTTAAATGGTGCAACTTTGGTAAACTCAATTTGGGAAATTTTTTAATTCAAAAAGAGCTCGCTTATTTGCCTCGATAAAAATACAAACAACGTATTTGGTAAAAAGATATATGGTAAGTATTTCTGAACGTATTCTATTATCTCCTATACATTTAATTGTTCTTGCAGACGCAATTTCATAATAAGTGGCTAGAATTAAATTTCGGGCTTATATATATGGCTATAAAAACTCGTAACGTCTGGGCAAAATAATTGAAATGCTAAAACATCAAGGATAAGCTTAGTAATTTAACCTTAGGTACAAAGTTTAGTTAGAAACTGTATTTTAAACCCGTGTTATCAGCATAGTGCGTATAAATTTAGAACAGTGACTATTTGTCGAGTGTACTATTTACATATTTAGTTTGTAAGTATTTATTTTCAACAATTGTACCATTTAGACAGAAAAGATCACAGAATGCTAATATTGTTGCTTGTTACAAATTTATTAGTAGAAAAGAGCCATTTTATTTTTTTAATTGATCAAATTTATGTAGTTCTTTTTTCTATAAATCAAGTGAAATCCAGGTCATGACAAAAGTGCGGACAGTGGCACACATGATTCATTCAGAAACCGTGGACCGGAAAAATTGTGTGAAATCACTAGTCGACAATACCTGTATTATAATCAGAAAAGGGATTACACATTAATAATTGTCATCATTTATGGAAAGCGGTACAGACTTTAGATATCTTCAGTGCATTAAAAGTATACAAAATTCATTGTCCGCTACCTAGAGATTGATTCTGTAGTTTGTGTACCGCCGTCCTTACTCTACTCATGACTGTAACGGACTCATTTGCCTGTGGCCATCGCTTATTTATCATTATCTCCTCCCTGACATTTCAACGCCACCTGAAAAAAGGGATTCTCGTGTCGTGTTAGTGACGGAAAATGTTCCGGTAAGAGCATTTTTATGTTAGCTATACCACTGTAGTGCAAATTAAGTATATGGTGGGGTTTTATCAACGATTCGAAAATTGAAAACTGTGTTTATAGCATGGATGTATAACACATGTAAGCTGTATATCTATCGGACGGTAATAATAGAGGAATATCACAAATTTCAGGGACACCAAAAATTTTTTTATGTAATTTGTTTCAACTAAAATCGAGTTGTTTTTGGAAATTTGAAAAATACATATTTCCAAACGCAGTCATTTATCATTTGCCGAACAAAATTAAAATGTCATTTGTTTTGTTTGAATCCCATGGCTTACTTGATTCAAAACAAATGGATTTTAAAATTACGCATTAATGATGAATATCGTCAATACGTTGACAGAGGGTTGCAGACTCAATTGAAAAATGTGTTTAGGGTGATATTTAGAACAAAGTGAAGGCATTTTGGTAAGTAGGAAGCCAAAAAAATTATATTTCTGTATTACGGTTAACATTAAGTGATTATTGAAATCATGACGTGAAAAAACAAAATTATATTAATTTTTGGTACAACCTTTGGACTAGAGTGTTTTATTCTCTCTAATTATGAATTATAGACATATTGAAAGTTACAAGTATAGATCGACTAATAATACATATTTTTTCAGTTAATTTTAACGTTTTGTTAGTCAGTTTAATATAATAATCTGCGTTAATGAGAATTGATGCCGATTTTCTCTTCGCCCTTTGATTTTGAGAATCAATTAGAAACTCGGATTAACCGTATTCATGTATCGGCGTAGGTTGAAAGCCGAGTTGATGCTGATAACAACATGCATATACATACAGAATATCGCAAAGCTCTATTGAAACCAGAGTGATTTGCTCGACGATACTATTCTTCAATCTCTTTTCTAACGAACAAAAAGTACCTCATAGATAAAACTTGTGGTACAATTTTCTGATTAATGAAGATACATAACCTCAAAGTTATTTCTTTCTTTTTAATATTTTGTTATAACTTTTTCATGAATTAACCCCTTGTATTCAATTTGTTGCACTTATTATTGGTGAGACTGTATTTTTTGTGATATTTTAAGCTGAGGCGGTTTAATTTTGTAGTAAACCCTATAGGTGAAGTTTGTTACTAATAATAAGTGACCGAAATAGTCATTTAATTGAAAATGAATTAAATATTATACCGAGGAAAGAATTTACTTGTAAGAAATAAAATTTGTTAGAGCCAATTATATCATATACTTGTCGAATTAAAGATTACCAAAGCAGCTATTTGAACGAAAATACTAAATGTTTGGTTCTAAAAAATAATTATTTATCTCGTTTTTATTTATTTATTTTAACAAAAATACGTTTAGAAATACAAGGTGTTTTGTAATACACTAGCATAATTTCAGGTCTTCATAGAAATTCAAAAAATATAACGTTTTGTTCCTGTAATGTATATGAAGCGAATAAATCACAACTGAGATTGCAACACCTTTATTCTTTCAAGTCTTCTATACAATATGTATCTAACAACGATCACTGTCCGCTTAAATTCTATCCTGCGTGGATTTTCTTTCTGTCTCTACCACACTTTTTCTATATCTACAAAAACTATGTACACCTTAAAAACCTAAAGACACACACACACAATATAAAGTGATACACACACTAACAGTTCCTATGGACCATTTCCGTTTTCAAGAAAATAATTTTTTAGAATCTAGTTTAGGTCCTATATCTTCCACAAAATTCGACCAAATGAACTGAAATTTTGTTATGCGGGGTTTCTGGAGATGCTAAATACTTCGGAGTTATTAATTTTTGGCTATATTATACAGGGCGTTCAGTGCAGTACTCCTCCGGAACATTTTAGATCCTAACTTTTTTGAGGTTAATCTTTTTGCCTCTTTTGTCACTTGCTGTTATGACAATTTTTTTCTATATATTAATAATAAATATATATTTTCTAAAAAAATTATAATTTAGAGGAATACGAAACTGACACGGAATACACCTTATGACAATTTTACCGCTTTGGTGGTTATTTACGTCCAGCGATACTAATCCTCGATCCGAAAACATAAAAGAATTATTACCGGCCAATAAAATCAAGCTACATAATTTCGCTGTCCATTGCGGTTAATATATATCGCTGTTAAATTTAATAGGGGCCATCTGCGGAGCATCACGTTAGAGATGTTACCGGTTTATGTTTCACCTGCCCACGATCACGTGCCATCG